AGAATCCACTGAAGTTAAATGATTTGTAACGTTCGAAATTCATCAATATTCCTGGTCAGATATCTTAAGTTTTCCGATTGGTAAGCGTTTTAACAATCACAGTTATAGTTTTCGAAGTTTTTTAGCACACCGTTATATAGCTAACTAATAATATAGACTCTCCTGGCGCGTCGCGTTAGTTATATTTATAGACGTGGGAATGTTTTCTCGAAAATTCATTCTTACGAAACAATACTGGTTAAAGCGTTTACGTATATAGATATATTGTTGATTCTTACTCTCGAGAATCTTCTAAAACTTTAGAGAATAGACGGAAGTTTCGCAATACATATCAAACACTACAAGCTATGCATGTTTCTAAATATAAACTTAATCTAAACAACGTTCATATTAAAATAAATCCATAACGACAAATTCGTTACATAATGTCCCCGTGTTCTCAGTTCTAAACAAATCCAAACACACAAAGCGAGTCCCCTGGTGGGACAGAGGTAAGTTTACAGATTTACAACATTAAAATCTGGGTTTCGCACACGCACACACACATAGGAGTCCCCTGATGGGACAGAGGTAAGTTTACGGATTTACAACATTAAAAACCGGGATTCGATTCCCGCTGTAGACAGAGAAGGTAGCATAATGTGGCTTTACTCTAAAACACACACACAGTCCCCCGGTGGGACAGCAGTAAGTTTATGGATTTACAATGTTAAAATCTTTTCTTAAACTGATTGTTCACTACTACTGGTAATCAGGCTTTTTTTAAACAGATTGTTCACTACTACTGGTAATCAGGCTTTTCTCCCAGAGTTAATGTGACGATTAAAAACATTAGGTATTTCTGCCTGAAAGCTGAAACTACTTTATGGGGTGGAATATTTTTGCGCTGTATATGTATGTATGTATGTATATATATATATATATATTTAATACGCGAGTCGTCAGTGACTTTGAACAGACAGACTAGGGGGAAGGCAGCTGGTAATCAGCACACACTGCCAAGTCATGTCTCTCGCAGGAATTTGACCGTCACCCTTATAGCACACACAAGGTCTGGAAGTGTGGAGCGTGCATTTTTTTATTTTTATTTGCAGAAATGGAATGTGAATGATAGATCCTAATAGCAAAAATTGTCTTTAAAACTATCCGAGTTCCGTTTGTTCACAATCATCAAAGATGTAGCATACGTTTGTTCATTCAACTTCTCGTTATTCTTAAGAAAGAAAAAACTGTTTGTTTTGGCTAGTAGGCTATCCGATCACCTACGTTTAATTATTAATTAGCTCTTATTTTGCTTGATACTAGAACCACTTTGCATAGTGAATTATAGCTTGATACTAGAACCACTTTACATGGTGAACTATAGCTTGATACTAGAAGCACTTTACATGGTGAACTATAGCTTGATACTAGAACCACTTTACATGGTGAACTATAGCTTGATACTAGAACCAAGTTACATGGTTTATCATGTATTATGTAACTCTAGCTTGCTCATCAGTTAATTTTTATTAATATTTTTCTTATAATATTGAAGCGAGTTATACAGGAGTATTTCAAATTTAGTTGGCATGTTTGAGTAGTTATGAAGAAATGTCGAGTTTGTTGATCGTGGGACTCGGTATGCTTTCGTTCAAATATAGTTTTGTATTTGCTGTAGTTTCTTGAAATGTGTTTTTGATACATTTATCCATGTTATACAGGCATATTCTACGACTGGTCTTATGTATGTTCTGTAAATATTTAATATGTTTTCTGATGAAGCTCCTTGGTTATTGCCAGCCAGACTCCTAAGGTAATTCGCTCTTTTCCAAATTCTGGTTTTTATGCTTTAATGTGTAGTATCCAGATTAATTTTGAGTCAAATGTAATCCCTAAGAATTTTGCTGATGTTGCTACCTATAAGAGAGTCCCGTCTAGATATAACTGTGGTATTCATTTGCTTGTCTTGTTTGATTTTGTGTATTGGATAACTTGTGTTTTGTGCATATTAATTTTAATTCTCCATTTATTGCAATAAAGTTCTATTTCGTTTAGTAGTGGTTGTATACTGTATGTTGCTGTTGTTGGGTTTGGGACACTCTTCCAGATAGAAACATCATTTGTGGTTCGGGGTCTTTAAGTGACATGTTGCTATTGTTGGGTTTGGGACACTCTTCCAGATAGCAACATCATTTGTGGTTCGGGGTCTTTAAGTGACATGTTGCTGTTGTTGGGTTTGGGACACTCTTCCAGATAGCAACATCATTTGTGGTTCGGGGTCTTTAAGTGACATACATGATAAATATGGTAGGGCTAAATACTGCTCTCTGAAGGACGCAAAGAGCGTCCCCACAGCTTAAAATGCTAAAAATCGGGTTTCAGTACTCGCGGTGGGCACAGCATGGGTAGCCCATTAGGTAGCTTTGCGCTTAAGGACCAACAACTTTTGTAAGGTCGAAATCAGAAACGAAACACGTGCTGGATCCCGTAACCTTCATTGTATTCACAAGCTTCTTACGAGGTCACACTCGAGTCACATATTTTGAGAGACCGTCTATCGAACCCCTTGAATCAAATATTTAAGTGATAAACATGTCGACAGTGGCGCCACATCTCACATCTGCGGATGCATGCGTTAAAGAAGTCTCTAAAATGATTTGTTTGTTTAAAGTTAAGCACAAAGCTACACTATGGGGCTATCTGTGCTCTGCTCACCACGGGTATCGAAACCCGGTTTCTAGCGTTGTAAGTCCGCAGACATATGGATGTGCCACCGGGGGGCATCTAAATGAACTTACTATTCATAGTCAATGGCTTATTAGGTTATTCAGGCGTGACAAGCGTAAATTAAGATGAATTGTAAAGTGGTATATTGTGTTATTTTTTTATCATATAGAAGAATAACGTTTTTTGAAACCGTTGAGTTATAACTTACCAATCAACTTATAAACTTTTTCTGTGTTTTTTTTATTAAGATAAGACTAACGTCTAACCAAAGTAATGCTTTCTCTTCGAAACGTGTGATTACTTTAAATTATTGTTTGTTTGTAATTAAGCACAAAGCTACACAATGAGCTATCTGTCCTCTGCCCACCACGGGTATGGAAACCCGGATTCTAGCGTTGTAAGTCGGCAGACATACCACTGTGCCACTGGGGGGGGGCTCTTTAAAGTATATGTATATATATATGTATGTATGTATGTGAGCCTTAGGAGTAATATGAGTTGCAAATTAGAGTACACGTTCGTAGGTTATTATAGAGTTGTTTGTATGCATTGTCTCTAATGTTAAACATTCACTAGGATTTTGTAACACGCCGTTGAATAGAAATGTGAGTGAATAGAAGATTCTACAAGTATTCATTATTTAGAAACTTTACAAATTTGACTTTTGTTTTAAGAATTTTAAAGGAATAGCATTATTATTTAAACGCAGAACAACCCAACTTGGCCAGTGAAGTAGAGGTTTTGAAAAACAATATCACCACATTATGGAAAGCATTGATACAATTTCGTCAGGTGGTGGCAGAAAACATGGAACACATTCACGCCCATCAGCGAGAAATGCACGGGACTTTGCATAAAATGTTGTATGATCACAAACGTCTGAGTATGAAGCACGGTAAGTTAGTATATGTGTGTCCGTTTGCTTGTTTTAAAACAAAGCTATATTGGGCTATATACTGTGTCTAAAGTATGGAATCGAACCTCGGATTTTAACGTTGTAAATCCGTAAACTTACTGCTGTCCCACTGGAGATTTGTGTGTGTGTTTTAGAGTAAAGCCACATTATGCTACCTTCTCTGTCTACAGCGGGAATCGAATCCCGGCCTGATTACCAGTAGTAGTGAACAATCAGTTTAAGAAAAGCGTGATTACCAGTAGTAGTGAACAATCAGTTTAAGAAAAGCCTGATTACCAGTGGTAGTGAACAATCAGTTTAAGAAAAGCGTGATTACCAGTGGTAGTGAACAATCAGTTTAAGAAAAGCCTGATTACCAGTGTAGTGAACAATCAGTTTAAAAAAAGCCTGATTACCAGTGGTAGTGAACAATCAGTTTAAGAAAAGCCTGATTACCAGTAGTAGTGAACAATCAGTTTAAGAAAAGCCTGATTACCAGTGGTAGTGAACAATCAGTTTAAGAAAAGCCTGATTACCAGTGGTAGTGAACAATCAGTTTAAGAAAAGCCTGATTACCAGTAATAGTGAACAATCAGTTTAAGAAAAG